TACAAATAAATATTTTATTTTAAAGTACAAAAATTTGGCGCTGCTCAACCGAAAAACAAAATAAAATAACAACAAACATAAAATAACCAACAAACATAAAATAACAACAAAAATAAAATAACCATACAAACCACACTTACACTCAATTCATTCATACACATTTACACTCACACATTCTGACGTCAATTTCCCTCTCCCTTCTCTGCCTTTCCCTCTTCTCGTCGGAGATTCTCTGACGTCCCCGCGCAAAATTAAAAACGCGGGTCGTAACATCATTTTCATACAAAATGGCGGCGACAGAGCCCGTAGTCGAAAACAGCTTTTTTGAAAACACCGCCACGGGAGGACGAATTTCTCGGCATGTATGAGTCCTGGAACAAGAAACAAAAAAAATTTATAATTATATACAATTGGCTTTGGAAGTACGTAGAGGTTTTTTTGTAAATCAATTTTTGTGGAAATGGTGCACTTTGTAAGAAATAAATCGATTTTTTGCCCTAAAAATGAGCATTAAATTGTTTCTAAAAAAAGTTTACATTCAATCGAGAAACGGCTACGTACTTCCAAAGAGAATATTGTTGTGAAGCTACTGTAAAAATTTCAAATCGATCCATGCAATAGTCTCCGAGAAATCCGTCCTCCCAGTTTGAAAAAAGTAGTTTCGAGAAAAACGCGTTTAAAGTTTTATGAACACTTTAATCCTTGAAATTTTTGTTTACCTCTAATCTGCGATGCCTGCACCATACATTTGGCCATCCAGGTCGATGTTCGCCTCCTCCTCTTCCTTCCTAGATACTTTTAAGGCTATTCGGGCCCTTTTTGCGGCATCGCTAAGCGATCTCTCGGAAAAGCTGATGCGGCGCGCGTCGGTTTCCACGCAGAAGTTATAACAGTTCGGCCCAATTGTCATATCCAAATTCTGCATGAGCCTCATGATAGTTGATAGGCCGTCATTATATATGCCTACACTAATATAAACTGCCGTGTCAAGAATGTGTTTGCCGCTTGAAGTCGATTTCGGAGCCATTGACCAGACTGTAGCGTTGAAGCTCTCGTTATTTTGCGTAAAACCGCCGATGCAACGAGAAAGAAGCAAGAGAACATTCTCGAAGCCCCGTCTCCAACACTCATATTATTCTTGTTATTCACTTCAACACAATATATAAAATATAAAATATAAAAATATATAATATACATATAATATGTAAAACAGAGAAATGAACGGGAAAAGCGATGAATCACACGCGCCGCGTGAGTGCCGCGCGCTCTGAGGCGCTGCGGCAAAATCGATAATTAAACCATTTAAATTTTATAAATTGTTATCCAAGAATGGCATATTGTTTTTATGACCCTAAAGTATCGTTCAAGCAAAAAAAATTTTCGATTTTTTGAAAATCCTAGAGTGGTGTTACCCCTTAATGTAACTACATACTATTTAGTAAAATAATTTTAATAACCAGTCAACCGAAAAAGCTTGTCAACCTTGGCCTTAACTTATTGTCATTATTTTGAATAGAACACAAGCGCTATACCTTTATACGTGTATAATGTTTATTATGTAATATAATGTAATATTATGTAATATAAATATATAATGGATTTCTCTTCTTAATAATAAATAGAACAATTCTTATTGTCTTTGTACGTGTAAAGCAATAATATTTAGTGATGATGCTTTTCAAAAGGTATATGAATGCTTGAAGGTAAGCAATTATGAAAAAATCGTCGAAAATTGACATGGAATCGATCATAACTGGAAAACTATTGACTGCATCTTGTTTTACCTTACACAAAAATGTAGCTCTTTTCATTCTCTTAGAATCCCTCAGCAACCTTTTACCGTAGCGGCGCTCCTTAAGGGTGATATGAGGGCCGAAATTCCAAAAAAGGCGAAAAAATCGTCGAAAATTGACATGGAATCGACTATAACTCGAAAACTATTGACCGCATCTTATTTTAACTTAGACGAAAATGTAGCTCTTTTCATCCTCTTTCGAAGTCAAGAACATCATTTTGCTGTAGGAACACGTTTTCAATGCGAAAAGATGAGTTATTAGTACGTATATGAAGTCTCGTGATTTTGACCTGACAAAAAAACTTCAAACGATTTTAGGAACGGTTAAACATCATTTTTGACCCCAAGTATGTTCTGAAAAGTTGCTTAGAATTAAACAAAGAATCATTTTCCGGCCAGTCTCGTACAAAAATTGAAAAAAAAATTTCGGCTGGGCAGTCTAATTGTATACAGGGTGTCTGATGCAAAAGTAGCAACTTCGAAAATAGTGGTAGATTGGGTTAAACTAAGGAGAAATATCATGTACTGCGGTACAAAA